TAGTAGTAGTAGTAGTAGTAGTAGTAGTAGTAGTAGTAGTAGTAGTAGTAGTAGTAGATAGTAGTCGTAGAGGTCGTCGTCGTCGTAGTCGTCATCGTCTACGTAGTCGTAGTTGTAGGCGTAGTCGTAGTCGTAGGCGTAGTAGTCGTAGTAGCCGTTGTAGTAGTAGTAGTAGTAGTAGTAGTAGTAGTAGTAGTAGTAGTAGTAGTAGTAGTAGTAATAGTAGTGTTACTACTTGTAGACGACCTTGTCGTTGTTGATGATGGTGCTGATGATGATGACGATGATGATGACGATGACGATGGCGATGACGATGACGATGGTGATGGTGATGATGACGATGGTAGGGAGGAGGAGTAGTAGGAGGAGGAGGAGGAGGCGGAGGAGGTGGAGCATGGGGGGAGGAGCAGGAAAAGGAGGAGCGTAGTCGTAGTCGTAGTCGTAGTAGTAGTCGTAGTAGTAGTAGAAGTAGTAGTAGTAGTAGTAGTAGTAGTAGTAGTAGTTAGTAGTAGTAGTAGTAGTAGTAGTAGTAGTATAGTAGTAGTAGTAGTAGTAGAGTAGTAGTAGTAGTAGTTAGTAGTAGTAGTAGTAGTAGTAGTAGTAGTAGTAGTAGTAGTAGTAGTAGTAGTAGTAGTAGTAGTAGTAGTAGTAGTAGTAGTAGTAGTAGTGTAGTAGTAGTAGTAGTAGTAGTAGTAGTAGTAGTAGTAGTAGTAGTAGTAGTAGTAGTAGTAGTAGTAGTAGTAGTAGTAGTAATAGTAGTATTACTACTTGTAGACGACCTTGTCGTTGTTGATGATGGTGCTGATGATGATGACGATGATGATGATGATGACGATGACGATGGCGATGACGATGACGATGGTGATGGTGATGATGACGATGGTAGGGAGGAGGAGTAGTAGTAGTAGGAGGACGAGGAGGCGGAGGAGGTGGAGCATGGGGGGAGGGGCAGGAAAAGGAGGAGCCTGAACAGTAGGAGGACGAGGAGGGCGGCGCGCGGACCTGTTGCCCCTTTCTGTGCTCCCTTCCCCTCCCCACGGAGACAGGCGGACTCCATGGAGCACCGGTCGCCGCAGAAGCACGGCCTCCGCAGCCCGGCTCGCGCACGTGGGGGGGGTCGTCGTCGTGTCCGTCTTCGCGGTCGGTCTGTCGGTCGGTCGGCCGGTTTGTCGTTGTCGTCGTCGTCGTCGTCTTCGGCATCGTTTTTTTTTTTTTTTCTCCTCCTCCGCCTCCGCCTCCTTTCCCTCCTGGTGCCTCCTCCTCTTCCTCCCACTCCTCCTGTCCTCCTCCTCCCCCCTCTTGATCTAGTAGCCTCCTTGTCTTGTTTGTCGTCGTCGTCGTCGTCGTCGTCGTCGCCGTCGCCGTCGTCGCGTCGTTGCCGTCGTCGTCGTCGTCGTCGTCGTCGTCGCCATCGCCTTTGTCGTCGTCTTGGTCGTCTTCCTCCTCCTCCTCCTCCTCCTCCTCCTCCTCCTCCTCCTCCTCCTCCTCCTCCTCCCCCTCCCCCTCCTCTTCCCCCTACGGCCCGCCTCCCCGCCTCGCCCCCGACGCCCGCACGTCTTCCGCCTGCTCACCCAGAAACGGAACAAAAGGGCATCGGCCACACGCCGCCGCGGGGAGCCCCACCGGCGCGCCGCTCGTCCTCTCCCTGGCTTCTGTCCCTGGGTGTGGTCGTTGATGCCGTCCCGCGCCCACTGCCAGGTCACCTCAGCCTCGGCTGGCCGTTCCGGCGCGCTCGTCTTGAAAGTCTTGCCGCGGGGAGCACCCACCTCCTCCTCCCCGTCCGCTGCGGCCGCCCCCCCCCTGCCTTGTCTTGCAGCTGGCCAATAAGTTCGCCGAGCGCTCCCGGCAACTCCGAACGCGCGAGGGGATTGCCTCTGCCGCGCCGCGACGGAAAAAGTTTGTCCAGAACCTGGTGTTTCTTTAACGGTCGCACGCTGATGGGTTCCCCACGGCGTCGCGTCATTGATGTTCTTTTTCTCCCCCAGCCAGATTTGCAGTGCGCGCCGTGTCCATGGTGGCCTCATGGATTGAAGCTTGCACGGATGCTCAGTGCATGGCAGTAGCACTGAGCACCGGTGAAGCAGAGGCTGGCGTCCGCCTCTGCGTTTTCGCACAGTCCAGGCGCAAGGTTTCAGGTGGTCCCGGTGAGCCGCGGCTCGCCGTGCACCCGCGAAGCGTCCGAGGCAAGGCCACTGGGAGACCCGAGGCCGGCCTTCGCAAACTTCCATACCCTACGGCTCAAGCTCAGGCCGCCTTTCTCCTTCGAAGCGTTTCGCTCATTATACGCAGTGTCGCTTACAAGGCGTGATGCGGCGGCCTTTGCCCGAAGCCGCCGCGTCGCCTCCCCCACACCCGTTAGGGCATTCCTGGCGTCAGGCTGGTGTACGGCTTGCTAACGCTCATGACGAGGACGAACGACATTGCGTTTCAGTCTTCACATCTCGGCCGGCGCGCTTGGCTCTGCAATCACATTGCATGTCTTCGTTGTTGTTATGTCGTAGTTCCACGTGAACATATTCTTCTGTTTGGTAGTGCATGACGCTACTCATGCCTTGGTATGTTTAGCAGTGTTCGGATTCCCCGCAGTCGTGGTGGGTGGATTCCGTCATTTGCTGGCGGCAGGGGTAGCAGTTGTCTTGCTCGGCTTGGACGCCCTGTGGTGGGGCTATTCTACTCCCGGCTCTGGGCTCCGTGCTACGGAGCGCTTATGCTCTTGCACAGTGTTTCTAGAACTTTGACCACTATTTCGCCACGGCATCAGTCCCCCCTCCGCCCTCCTCCGCAGCCGTCAGCATGTCCCCTCCGCCCTCCGACGGCGGCAACCTCGTCCGTACCTGTACGCCGACGCCGTCCGACGGCTGACCGACAGGCGTGCTGCTTCCTGGGGGCATCAGCCCCTGAGTCATGCTTCTGTATCGTCGCCGCTGCTTCCTCTGTCTGCCTCTTCGGGCGTGCGCCGCCGGGTGCACTTCCGGTGCGGGTCGGGGGCCTGCTGCGCAGTCTGTGGCAAGCTTCGTCGCGTGAAGGTCCCTGTCTGCGTCCGGGGGCCCGGCTTCTCTTGCATGGAGGCCTCTTCACCTTTTTTTCACGCTTGACCCCCCGCGGGGGGTGTATTAAGCCCCCTCGTGCGCCGAGGGGTGGCAGGGCCCTTGCACCTCCCCTGTTCATGCCTGGCCCCCTCGCTGGCGGTGCCTCCCTTGCGCCGTCGGCGGGGGGCCCAGGGCGGAGCCCGGGGCGGCCGTGCTTGCGCGGCCACCGGTTCTCGGGTCCTGTCGCCCTTCGGCTCGCGCAGGAGGGCCCCTGCACCCCCCCCGCCGGGTTGGGCCGTCTGCGCCTGCTCTCGCCTGCCCCTGCGAGAGAACACCCTGGCGACCGGTGCCGCAGAGCAGGCGCATGGGCCGCCGAGGGGTGGATATGCCTCCGCGCGGCGCCTGCCTCTGCGGCGGTCTCCGAGGCGCGCGTCCCGACGCGTGCTGCAGGTGCGGGTCTCTTGTCAGCTTCGGGTGTGCAGACGGGGCGTGCCACGCCCTGATCACCAGAGCCCGCCAGCCTTGCCAGTCGGGGATTCTTTTGGACCGCGCGTTGGGTGGGGGGATTCTGCAACTCCTCGCATTCTGGCGGCGCCTCCCGCCACTGCGGGCCTGGCCCAGCAGGCGCTAGCACCCTGCGGGCCAGGACGAATCCATCCTCCGAAGTTGTGCGATCTATTTCTCTCTCTCTCTCTCTCTTGCTCCTGAGCTGTCCTCCTCCTCCTCCTCTTCCTCCTCCTCCTCCTCTTCCGTAGCCATTCTGGCTCAAGTCTGGATGAAAGCTACGGTGTAGCGAGATTCCAGACTGAGGGCCAAAGTGGTCCTCATAGGCATTTGCCCTCGAGCTGCCTTGTTTCCTGCTCCCGAGGCCAGGTCATCGGCCGCCCGCAGGACAGCTCCGTTTAGGCACCTTCTGAATCAGGGCAGCCGCACCACTGCGATGGCTTCTGATGATGAGATAGTGTGCCCAACGCCAGTGGCAGAGGAAGATTGCTTGGTCCCGAAGCATGGGCGTACTGGCAACGCCGACTTGATATGCGAGATGCTGGGTGACATTTGCACGAACATGGCCACAAAGGATGACGTCACAGAGGTGAAGAGAAACATTCATGAGCACGAGATCAGGATCGACGGGCTGACTGCACGGATGAAGGCGATCGAGGATAGAACTAATACCAGCATGGAGGCAGCACAATCCGCTGCTGCCACCGTCATGACTGAAGCTGTTGACAATCAACTGAAGGACATGAAGGCCCATAATCTCAAGATGCAGGCCGAGCTTGCTGCGCTGTCATCGCGTACTCCATCGACCAGGTCAAATGCATCGGCCGCATCACAAGAGCCCGAGAAGGAGAGGGACAACCGCAAGATCTGGATCGCGGGCTTCCCGAGACCGCTGCTAGCCAAGGTCATGAGTGTCCATGCTACACAGCTCATCCAAGAGCACGTCCCCAGCGGCATCACGGCAATGCCCAAGTCCCACAACTTCCAGACGGCCTACAGCATCATCTTTGAGTCGAATGAGGCGGCCAAGGATTTCTTGATGCGCGCTCGGACCCTGGGTGTGAAGTGGCGCGACCCTCGCACCAATACTGATTGTAAATTGAAGATCCGCATGGACGCACCGCCAGCCATCCGCAAAGTCAACCGCATCCTCGGCGTCCTCTGGTCCAAGGTTGTGGAGACAGCCAAGGCCTATAACAAATGGAGTCCATCCTTTACGCTAGGCTCGCAAGGATTTCGTGGCACGCTATGGCTGATCTCAAATGAAGACACGGAGAACCTCTTCCAGGTGAAAGGCGTAGAGTCGATGCAATTGGATGTCATTCCCAACGTCGTGGCATTGAAGAAGATCGGCTTCACTGATGCCACCATCAGCAGCACGGTTGAGAGCATCCTGATCTAGGAGACCGCTCTGCCAAGCCAGCAGTGCATGAAGGTCGACTTGCATGATATGCCACAGGGGTTCCTCGCATCTCCTGTGGATAGTGATTTGACTGGTTTGGGTGTCCCGTTCTGCGTGGGCGCTTGCGGTGTACGTTCCACACCTGTGCAAGCGGCAGACAGCGACGACCAGCAACACGCCACACCGCCACTTACGAAGAGAATTTGGTCTACATGCGGAATAGCCACTTCAGAGAGAAGAGCAAGAGCCTCATCCTCGTCGCCCAGCGCGTCTGGGTCTTCCAGTCCTGGTGGGTCGTCTGCACGCTCGGCACCTTCGGCAAGTTCTACGTCCTCATCTTCCTGCTCTACTTCGTCGTTCACGGTAGACTGGCCTGCGTTGCTGTTGCGAGGCAGCCTTTTCTTGCCGTGCAAGCGCGTTTCAGTTGCGTCTTGGAATGCTCGTTCGCTCTTCGGCGCACTGTGCGCCCCGCAGCTCACCCACCGCGCAAAGATCAGGCAGCTTATCAATATGACTCAGTACCGTGATGTTGTATGTATTCATGAGGTTCGCGGGTCGTACGAGTGTTTCCGTGCCCTGGAGCGTGAGGTAATCAGCTCTCTGGCTTCTCGCCCCTTCTCTGCTTCCCCCACTTTGGTGGTTGTCTTAGCCTTGCCCCTGGTGCCACCTGAATTCAGTTTTATATATTGTTTTCCTCTTGGCAATCGTGCTCTGTTGTCTATCTTGTTGTATATGGATGCCTGCTTCCATTGTTATCATACCTGTCGCCAGCGCCCTGCGTTGACCGTCGCCGTGGCAGGGGCCCTATTTCAGCAGGTCTGCAGGCAGTGGGCAGACCTGTCCGCGCTGATTGGCACGGCCCCGCAGGCGCCGCCGCGCGCGGCCGCGTCGACGACGTCTTGCCCTCTTCTCGCTTCTTGTCCGCCTGCCCTCTTCTCGTCCCTCTCTTTTGGCCAGCGCACTCCTCCTCCTCCTCCTCCTCCTCCTCCCTGCTTTCCATCTCTCTCTCTCTCTCTATCTCTCTCTCTCTCCCCCTCCTTCCTGCGCGACCTCTGCCTCTCCCCTCCGCACTTGTTCTCCCCCCCCCCCGTCTCCCTCTCCCCTTCCCCTGCCCCTCCCTGGACCTGGACCCCCGCGGCAGGGGGTGAGCTGTCACCCAGCCATCCCTGCACGGGAAGCGCCACCAAAGGGGCTGTGCCCGCGGCCCCACCAGACGCCTTCCCAGACCACCTCCGCCCCCTTTCCTCGCCGGTTCCCGCTGGCGCGCCGCCCTGCGCTCCCCCCTCGGAAGCGGTGGTCGCGCCGCCGCCGCGGTCGCCTGCCGCCGCCGCCTGCCGCCGTCGCCAGTGCCTGCCGCCGTTGTCGCTGCCGCCGCCGTCGCATTCCTCGTTTTTTTCCTCCCCTCTCATCCCCTCCCCTCCCCTCCCCTCCCCTCCCCTCCTCTCCCTCCCTCCCTCTTCCCCCCTCCCTCCCCCGTGGCTGTTCCCGTGGCTGTTGGTCCGCCGCTCCGCTGGGAGGCTCCGCCGTCCGAGGCGACCGAGACGACGGCGGCGCCGGCCAGCACCATGTCCCCCCCGTCCGCGCGGCGCGTCGTGCGGGACTTCGGCTGGGAGCCCAGCAAGGCCTCCCTGCCCATGGGGGGGGTTTGAGGTTCGAGGTCTTCGGACGTTTTCGCGGGTCTTCGGCGGCTTTCCAGCCTTGGGATGCTCTCCAGCAGTTGCGCCTCGCCGAGAGATTTCCGGGGATGCCCGGATCGTCCCGAACGGCCGCCAGAGAGCCGAGTTCTGACCCGAAAACTAAAGGCACCGTTACCGTTAGGGGGAGCCAGGTCAGAGCAGGAAAAGGTGCCGATACCGCCACCCTGACTTCTTGTGGGCCTTTGTTGGCCTCCTGGGATGCCCTCGTCGCCGAGGCTGGATTCGCTTCGAAATTCTGGTCAGAACGTACCCCGGGGGGAGGTGCTGGGAGTAGCGGTATCGATTATTAGTCTTCCCAAGATGGGGGGGATCGGGACGGGCCTGCACAGGGATAAATCGTTCACAGCGTTCCAAAACGTTCTCAGAGCGTTCTGGAACGTTCTGAGAAGGCAGCGGCGCTTCATACATGTTCCAGGACCGCTATATCTCAGAGATTTCCCATTCATCTAATGGCTTTCGGTCCATCCCGCAACCGTGCCTGGGTTGTGGGTATAAATCCTATTGGATGTTCGTTGGGATCTCGTCGTGTGCCTTTCGGGGCCTTCTTGGGGCGTCTTCTGGGCCTCTTGGGGCCTCTTGGGGGCCTCCTGGAGGCCTTTTCTGGCCTCTTGGGCGCCTCCTGGGGCCTCCTGGGGCAGGCGGGGATGATCGGCTCGCGTTTCCTCTTTGGGGCCCCTCTAGGTGCCCTCTTGGGGCCCTCTGGGGTGCCTCTTGGGTTGTCTTTGGGCGCCCGGCCGCGGGGCCCTCGTGGAGGCCCCGTGGACTCTTGGGCCATCTTGGTCAGGAGGGGAAAAAACACACAGACACAATTAATCGTCGACTCCCAGGAAAATATGGGAAAATATGGGAAGTGGGGGGGAAGACAAACAACCCAGAAAATATGGGAAAATATGGGGAATTATCTTATTTGTGTGTATTTGTTTGTGTGTCCCAAGGCCCCTTCATCTTGGGCCGTCTTGGATCGGCGCACCCCGCCCTCCCCGGCCGCTTTGCGTTTCCTCAGGCCGGGGCGGAGTCGCGCTGGCCCAACACGCACTTCAGATTTTCGCGGCACAGATACTTTTTTGGTGTTGGTGTCGGCTTTCCGACACTCCAATTGGAGTGTCGGAAAGCCGAACAGGCGAGGACGCCCAACTCTTTCATACACCGGAGAAACATCGGTGAGCGTTGCCTCTTGGGGCCATCTTTGGGGGGCGTCCTGGGGGCCTCCTGCGGCGTCTTGGGGGCCTCTTGGGCCATCTTGAGGCCATCGTGGGCGTCCTGGAGCGATCACGAGGCGACCTGGGGCCCTCTTTCGCCATCTCGGGGGCCTTTTGGAGCCATCTGGGCTCGTTTTGGAGCCCTCCTGGGCGGGGCAGGCCGCCGCGAGCGATCACGGCGGACCACGGGGGAGGAGGAGGAGGAGGAGGAGGAGGAGGAGGAGGAGGAGGAGGAGGAGGAGGAGGAGGAGGAGGAGGAGGAGGAGGAGGAGGAGGAGGAGAGGAGGAGGAGGACGGGAACGCCCAGGAAACGAGTAGCTGGGGCTTTCTCTTCAGGTTTACAATTCTGGCAGCAGCAGCAGCACGGCCCTTCTCAGTGCTGCATGAGCCTTGGGGCACTCCACTTCGTGCCAGAGGCACGGCGGCGTATCCTGGTCCGATTTGGTCCCCGTCCTGGCCTTGCCTTAGAGTGGAAGGAGGGGGGCGTCCTCTTTCTCCTCCTCTTCGCTCCTCCCTCGCTCGTCGCTCGTCGCCCCTCCCTCCCCCCTCCCCCCCTCCAGCCCTGTCTCTCCTCGCTCCTCCCCGGCCAGGACATGGACCCGCTCGACGAGATACCTTTTGGCTACGGCAGCCGCGGTGCGCAGTCCCCGCCCCGCGACCAGCTCGGTTTCAGCAGCCGCCAGGACCGCGGGTCGCTCCTCGCTCCTCCCTCGTCGCCCCTCGCTCCTCCTCGTCCCTCTTTCCCCTCCGCGTCCTCGCTCGTCGTCGTCGTCGTCGTCGTCGTCGTCGTCGTCGTCGTCGTCGTCGTCGTTCTCCTCCTCTTCCTCGCTTCTTTTCGCTCCTCCTTCCCCCCTCTCTCTCCTACTCCTCCCCTTCCTCTCCTCCTTGCTCCTGCTGCTTCTGCTGATGCTCCTTCTCTCCCCTCTCCCCTTCTCCTTTCTTGTCCTTCTCGCTCCTTCCCGCTCGTCGTCCTCCTCCTTCCCTCCTCCGCCGCCCTCCCATCTCCGCCTGTTGCTGTTGCTGTGCTTCAGGGTCGACTGCGATGCATCCATCCCCCCCCCAGGGGCCGTTGCTCCGTGGAGGGGGGAGGGAAGGGATCGAACTCCCCAGCGGCTTTCTGCCGCCAGGAAGGGACAAAACTAAGCTCTGGGTGGAGCGCGAGGGGAAGAGTTGCCCTACTCGTTGGCCGTTTTGACCCCCCCGATCCCAATCTATTGTAGGCGCCTTCCTACTTCAAGAGTCGAGCGCTTTTCCCTGTTCCCTCACAGGGGGCGGGCGGAAACCCAATCTGCTTCCAACGCCTTCCCATTTCTCCCGACCGACGTGCATCCCTCCATGCTGACCTCTCCCTTCCAAGGCCCCTCCGCGCCATCAGGTGCGGCGCCGGCCTGCACCGCTGCGCCACGGGCGGCGCGCGGCGGGGGGCCCCGGGGACGCAGCCGTCGGCAGGGACCAGCGTTGCGCGAGGCCGCGGGGGTGCTTGCGCCGAAGCAAGCGGCGCCGAGCGAGGGGCTGGATGGCGGTCGCCTGTTTCCGTGCTTCGACAGGCGCCCGCTTCCGAGGGACGCTGCCCCGCGCAGCGTGCGCGTCCTCGGGCTGCGGCGGCCCCGGCTACTGCGCAGGCCCCCCGCAGCGTGCCACAGCTTTGATCTGACCTGGCTCTGGAGCGCGCGAGGGCAAAAAGGGCCGGGCGCGCATTGCGGGGAGTAAGAGAGGATAGATCTGATGAGCTTGAAGTGGGGGCGGGAATGGGACTGTCGGGCTGTGAGGCCAGCTGGCATGACCTCCTCTGCCAACGGTGGTCTTCTCGTTAGCGCGGGGCCCTGCTTGGATGGTTGATGAATCTTTGCGCCAAGCCTCAGTATCGTTTAACCTACCCCCATCCCCACTGGGGCATCGTTTTTGTTGCCCAGCCATCCCATCACCCCAGTTGGGGACAGGCCCTTCGAAACCAGCAGGGAGCAGCCTATGTCACCATCTAGGGAGGCGGATCGGCCCGTGGGGCCCAGGCCACGCCAGTGGGGATCGGGATCGGTCGAACAATGCTCCAAGCCAGTATCCCAGCGTTCCCCTCTCGCATGGCGGAGGTAGTTCAGTGGTGGACGGTTGCCGCGTCGCCGTTCTTCTGGCGCCGTTGCGCAGGAACCCACACTTGCTCGCAGGTTGGAGAGGGAGGAAGCGCGGCAGTGTGGAGGGCCCAGTAAAATGCCATTGCACGTGCGGCTGTTGGCTGCAAGGCGGGCGGCGGCGAGGCACAAAAGGAAAGAAACAGGAAGTGATGTGAGGGGGGAAGGCTGACAGGGCGGTTCGGCCCAGCTCAGGTAGCAGGCTGCGGCTAGAGCTGCGGACCATCCTCCTTCTCCTTTCCTGCTATCCACCTTCACCATGGTTCCCACCCTGCTTGTCATACGAAATGCGGCTCTTGGCGGCGACGGCGAAGCAGGGTGGCGGCGAGGCAGATATTGCCTTGCTGCTGGCCTCTCGCAACCCTCCGCGTCCCCCAACATACCCCGCCCCTGAATCCTCACTTTCTTCATCCGCAAACGTGGACGTTTCGTGAACATCGGATATTATTTCGGATGGTTCATAAGTGTATCAGCCGTTTCATTTTTAGTAGATCTGGGAAGCCGTGCTTGTGGCCCGCTGTATTGGTGAACGGTCTCATGCGCTCCGGAGAGATACTCCGCTCTTCGGGATGGGAGGGGGTATTGAGACGCTGCGTGTCCATGAAGAAGTGGTGGCGGGTTACGGTGCCCCCCATTTCTCCCAAGTCATCCTGAAGAGTGCGAGCTTCTGGCTCGCCTCGGGCCCTCAAGCTTGGAGTCGTAGAGCTGGTTGCAGTTGGAATCGTCCTACGCGTAGCATGACGTCTGGTCGAATCTGGCTGTGGCGTTGCAGCCGTCACAGGGTTCGAAAGCGCCGCCGCCGTCGTCGACATCGTGGTGGAGCTCCGTCATGCAGTTGCCGGAACCTCATTTGCGCCATTTGGGCGTATCGCTATCCATAGTGGAATCTGGACGCTGGTTGCAGTCGGTACCGCCCTACACGTAGCAGCACGTCTAGTCGCAGTCGGCCATGGCGCTGGGGCGGGAGCGCGACTGATCGCAACCACTTCGGACCGATCGCCAACCACTTCGGACCGATCGCAACCAGTTGCGATCGGTCCGAAATGGTTGCGATGTTTTTGGGTCGTTCTCGTAAGGTCATGATTACGGAAGAGACCATCAGAGCGCTTCTGGGTGCAATGGGTTCCCTTAGGCCGCCCAGTGGGAATTTGAAAAAGCGACTTCGATCGGTCCGATCACAGACGGCCGATCATGATCTTAGCTAAACACATGTACTTGAGCTCGAACGTGGCCATGGTCCGTATACGATTCTTATGTTCCCCGTATACGATTGAAGCCGACTCTGGGCGAGCATGCCCGGCGTAAGCAACATTTCATCTCAGGAGAGGGAGGAGGAGGAGGACTGCCAAGTACGCTATAGGCTTCAGGGCGCTTGAGCCCATCCACGACCGCTTGGAAGTTGCATCCTTAAAGTCCTGAGTTTTTGTGGTGCGATAGGTACTCGCATGGGAAAAAGGCTGGGGTCGTATGCGAACGCGCGCCTCACAATGCGGAGCGTGCGTGCTCCACGCTCTGATTGACGAGCCTTCTGCTGTGGTCAGCTCGCCGAATTGCCCGGTGGACAATTACGTGCCCGCACGCGTTCCTCAAATGTACTTGTGAACGCGGTGTTCAAAGCCCCCTCCTCCCACTTCCTCCCATCCCCATCCAGGGGAGAGAGAGAGAGAGAGAGAGAGAGAGAGAGAAAAAGAGGGAGAGAGAGAGAGAGAGAGAGAGAGAAAGAGAGAAAGAGAGAGAGAGAGAGAGAGCAACAGAGAAACCAAAGAGGACAAAGGCGGCGGCGCTGGTGGCGCAGCGGGAATTCGGGCTCGGCTCTCATGGGCCGGCCGTGCGTGCCCGCCCGTGGACCCCTGGAGGGGCAGGGCGCGGCGAGCATTCCTTTTGGCCCGCTACCTCTTCCAGAGGCCTCCGAAAGCCGAAAGGTAAGGACTTGACCCCTTGAGCGGTTAACCAATGATGCACGGGGGCCTGACAAAAACCAGCGAAGAAAAACGAAGAGCAGAAGACGAACCGATCGTTACCCTCAGGTTGCCATGGTGGTGCGTGGCGCCTTGAGGACGCAAGCAACCGACAAACGACAAGGGCGCCTACATAGGCTACAGTGTGCACAGTGGTGTCCACCGTTTGGGGGGGGTCCTTCGGGCCAGAGGAACAGCCCGAACACCCCCCCTTGTTTTGTGGCGCCTTGTTGGTGCACCCAGAACAGAAAATGACCGCTCGCGGTGGGAGCTCTGGCGCGGGGAGGGGTTCTTCGGGCCAAAGGAATAGCCCGAACAAACCATCTGACTGGCGGTTCCTTGACGACGCTCTTAAGCGTCCAACGGCGGGGCCGTCAGGAGACAAAGCGTCCCTGGTGGTGCGTGGAGCCTTGCTGGCGCAACCCGCAGCCGACGGGGGCGCCTGCGCAGGCTGCAGTGCATATGGTGTTGGACTCCGTTTTGGGCGGTCCTTGGGGCCGAGGGAACAGCCCGAAACGCCCCCCCTGGTCTGTGGCGCCTTGTGGGCGCACCCAGAACACGGAACGTCCGCCCGTGGTAGTGGTTGTGTCGAAGGGGGGGGGGGGTTGAAAGCTAAGGAAACAACTCGAACAACCCCCGTGACCTTGATCATCCGACAGCGGGGCCGTCGTGAGCCACGGTTGCTGAGGTGGCGTGTGGCACCTTGATGGCGCAACCGGCGACCGACAACGGCGCCTACGTGGGCTACAATGCGCATGGTTGTGGACACCGGTTTGGGGGGTCTTTCGGGCCAAAGGAACAGCCCGAACACCTCCCTTGGTTTGTGGCGCCTTGTTGGCGCACCGAGGAGCAGGACGAGGAGGAGGAGGAGGAGGAGGAGGAGGAGGAGGAGGGAGGAGGAAGAGGAGGAGGATGAGGATGAGGAGGAGGTGGAGGAGGAGGGAGGAGGAGGAGGAGGAGGAGGAGGAGGAGGAGGAGGAGGGGGAGGAAAAGGAGCAGGAGGGGGAGGAGGAGGAGGAGGAGGAGGAGGAGGAGGAGGAGGAGGAGGAGGAGGAGGAGGAGGAGGAGGAGGAGGAGGGAGGAGGAGAGGAGGAGGAGGAGGAGGAGGAGGAGGAGGAGGAGAGGGAGGAGGAGGAGGAAAAGGAGGGAGGGAGGGAGGAGGAAGGGAAAAGGAGGAGGGGAGGGGGGAAGGGCAGGGGCAGGAGGAGCAGGAGCAGGAGGAGGAGGAGGTGGAGGAGGAGAGGGAGGGAGAGGAAGAGGACAGGATGGCAAGGCGGGTAGACGCGGCGGCCCAGACCCCCAACGTCATGACTTTTCCAGAACGTCGACCCCCAGAGGTCTGGACAAATTCCCCTACGGTAGGTTCGTGCGGCGTCGGCACTCGCAAGGCTTTTGGCGCCGCGTCGATCGTTCAACCTTGAATCGATCGCGGCCCCGATCGTTCAAGGTTGAATTTCGTCGGGTACAGTGGCCCCACCGTGTCCCTCGGTGCTTCCGCGTCGCAGAATGCAGCCTTGAACGCCTTCGCCAACGTCGCCGGCGTGCCAACGCCGCATGAAACTACAGTAGACCAGCATTGCATACTGAGCCACTTTTGACGGCCCCTGGGCCCGGCGATGGCCCCCGGAGCCCGAAACAAGAACATATGTTGTCACGACGCCAGGCGGTCTGAGCCTGTGGTGGTTGTGGGAACGTTGGCTGGGGGACGTGTGCGCCCTGCGCGGCCTGCGAGACCTTTGGCGCCCGTGCGACACGCAGGACCTGTGGGACTTGCGGGGCAGGCGGGAACGGCGGGATCGTTGGAACTTGTGCGACCTGTGGAAGTTGTGGACTTGTGCGACCAGTGGGAATTGTGAACTCAGAAGCCTTTCAGAAGCCTCTCAGAAGCCTCCCGGAAACCTCTCAGAAGCTTCTCGCAAGCCTCTCGGAACGCAGAAGCCACACAGCCCCGCCCCCCCAATCTGGGCGCGAAGCCTCTCAGAGAAACCTCTCAGAGGCCTAAGAGCAGCGTATCAGAGGCCTCAGAGAAATCTATCAGAGAAGCCTCTCAGAGAAGCCTACCAGAGGTCACAGAGAAGCCTTTCAGAGGCCTCAGAGGAGCCTTTTTTTCAGAGGCCCCAGAGAAGCCTATCAGAGAAGGCTCCCAGAGGCGTCAGAGCAGCCTTTCAGGAGGCCTCAGAGCAGCCTTTTCCAGAGGCCTCAGAGAAACCTATCAGAGGCCTCAGAACACATATATCAGAGAAGGCTCTGAAAGGCCTCAGAGAGGACTCAGAAAGGCCTCAGAGAAGCCTTAAAAAAAGGCTTCAGACAAGCCACTGAAAGGCTTCATCGAAGCCTCTGAAACGCTTCGGAGAAGCCTCTGGGAAAAAGGATTCAGAGAAGCTTCCGATCAGAGAAACCTCTGAAAAAGGCTTTCATAGAAGCATATGAAAAAAAAGGCCTCAGAGAAGGCTCTGAAAAAGGCTTCAGATAAGCCTTGAAACAGGCGTCAGAGAAGCCTCCGAAAAAGGCTTCAGAGAAGCCTCTGAAACGCTTCGGAGAAGCCTCTGAAAAAGGGCTTCAGAGAAGCCTCTGAAAAGGCTTCAGAGAAGCTTCTGAAAAAAAGGCCTTTGACAAGGCCTCTCAGATGCCTCTCAGAGAGCTCAGCAGGAGCTCAGCCGAAGCTCTTGGATCGGTTGCAATCCGGCGTTCTTCAGCAAAGGTTTGTATAGGAATCCTTCAGGTTGCGATCAGTCTGTTTCCAGTGGTTGCGATCCGACCGAAGTAGTTCCTGAACAGTCCGAAGTGGTTGTAATCGGCCTTATTCCCGCGCTGGGGCCCTCGGAGAATGGGAAGTGCACGTAGCAGTCTTACGGTCACCGACGGCCGTGGCGCTGCCGCCCTTGTGTAGCGCTCAGAGACGCCATCGTCGTCGCCATCGCGGTTGAGTTCCGTGCAGTTGCCAGCCGGGGCCGCACCTGCGCCGCTTCCGCGTCTCGCAATACATAGTGGAGCCTTGGTGTCGGCAGCAGCTGGTCCCGCCTTGCACGCCGCACCGCGTCGGGGATCCCAGTCGGCTGTGTAAGCCCGGTTGTCCGACACTTCG